CTGAGATTACCCAAATTGTTGCTAAGTTCCTGGAGGAAGTGTTCAAAAGGAAATGTAAGCATTGAGTATTGTTTTCCTGCTGTCATCCTTATGATATGTTAATTCCTTGTATTTTAATGTTTGCAATGCCAATAAAGGTTTGAATTGAATAGGTACAATGCCATCTATTCATACACATACCTCAACACACATAGATACCTTCAAAAACAATTTACCTTGGGTGCAGATGCGGCCACTTTGGCCGCGTCTGCATAGTTCCCCTGCGCAAAGAGAGTATTAAATTTTCTGGCAAAGAGTTCTTCTGCTCCGGCTAAGTTACTTCGGATAGCCATCCGCAGACCTAAGTCAGGATTCTGTAGTACATTGGTGGCATAGTTTACAATGTTGTCTTCTTCCACACAAACAGAAAGGACCTATAAAGAGAGAGTACATGATGAAATATGGCAACTATGGTCAAGGTAGTCAGAGAAGATCCAGAAGTTTGAGTCCTCCAAAAAGGAGGCATTGCAATCGTAATTTGGCTTGCTGTCTTTCCCAATCTCCAGACTACTGAGAATTCTTTGAACTGAAGTCCACACATCTGAAGGGTGCCCAAGCTGGGGAACGATACAGCCTTCTCCAAGACCTCATTTGTCTGGCTACTTGTAAAAACATTCTCATAACTATGGCCACCCAACACAATGGCTTAGCCAGAAAAGGCACATTTATACCGAGACCGGAGAAGGCTAATTTCTAATCTTCCAGCAACAATCTTACCTGTCCTTTTTTATTCACCCCAATAATTCCAGAGGTAGGTTCATGAGGCGAAGTTACAAATATCGTTTCAGCGCTAATCCGGTTCATGTAGATGCAGATGCCAGATTCCAAATCATACATGTGTATGTATCCGTATTTTGTGATCAGATAGATAACACCATGCTTTGTTCCAATCTGTTAAACATACAAGAAGAGGACCATATTATCTGTCCAGAAAGTACTTACTGGGCCGTAAGTCCTGTTGATTTCCAGCTTCCCAAGCAGGAACATCATGCCTGAGAGGAGAGTGGCTTCTTCAAGAGAAGATCCCAGTAACATTATGAATGCGAGCAAATGAACTAGCCCAAATTGTACAATTTGAATATTTTAATTTAGGACTGTATCCATAATTATCTCATTTTCATCTTCTGCTCTTAAATTTTCTTTGCATTTCTGGTTGGTTTCTTAAATAGAATGTTAGCAATCATGAACATTTTTATGAATAGATGATTTAAAACCTGGAATAATTAATAATTATTTGCTGATAGTTGTTTACTTTTGGTGCAGACGCTGCCACTCTGGTTCATTTGCATCGTTTTCCTGCAGAGTTCGATTTGTCTCGTGCAATTCTGCATATTAACGTAGCATTTCAGACAGCCTCGCATTTTCTAATCTATATTGCCAAGAGGGTATAAAGGGCTGGAGAAGATGCACCCTACTCCTCATTCATTTACCTGCATTGCAACTGGGAAATCTGTCTGCGCCTCTGGAGGGAAAAAAACATCAACTGCTTTTTTGACAAAGGGCTGGTTTCCTGTGGCAGGTTGACCCACTTCGATTATATGAAGCTGAAAAGAGACCATGAAATTACAATCCACTCTTTTGCTTGAAATAGGAAAACGGAATGACAGCTTGCAGGGGGCGAGGGTAGGGGGCTGCTTACATTTATTCTAGCCACAGCTCTCGTTTAGTTACCTTGCCTCCTGCAGGGCTTCGCACAGCAAAACAGAAAAGAGTGGAAGGCTTGGCATTTCCTTCTATTTTGAATTCAGCAAAGGCTGCAGCGTGCCCCTCTATTGGCTGGGAGACTTTGCGGTCCACTGAATAGAGCTGCATGGCACCCACCACGCGATTTTGCTACAACAAAACCAGAAGCCTCATGACCAAGTGTTCCAAAAAGATTCTGCATAAAGCATAAAGATTCTGATCCATCCATTCCAGCCCCTCCCACCACAAGAGATTGCCCCCTCCGAATTCAGCAGAGCTGGGATCAAAAAGGTTCTCCTCAATATGCTTCAACCCTCCTTCACAGCTTTCTTTACCTGGGCCGAGATGCCAATTAAGAGTAACCACTTTTGATTTTCATCTGTTCTGTAGTTGATGATTTGGCACCCAGCAAGACTGGCGTGTCGGTCAAACATCTTTTGCGGCAGGGAGTCTCCTTCCATGCTCCAGTGATATACTGCAGTCTCTGTCACTAAAGCGACGGTATTCACAGAGATCCACTTCCAAAAAATCACTTCTTCAGCCATGGTGTGGGCTTTCATTTTACTTTTCATCTCTATGTTAAAGATCTGGAGTGTTTTCCCCGCTGGGTTGCAAGACAGAAAGGCAAAAAGAATCACAGATCTCCAAAATATTCAGCCACACTTACTTCTTCTGCACGTTTGTACAGTTTAAATAGGGTTACAGTTGTCAACAGTCTTGGCAACACATGCACAGAAATGAAGTACTAAGAAAAGGACAGTGTCACTCACTTCAGACAGCAGCTGGAAAAAAAAAAGTTGCTGAATGCTCTCTCAGTAGCAGTTGAAGGGGGTTGGTTCATCTTACCATCTCGAGCTACTCAGCGTGCAGATCTCGCCTGATTCAGAACATGAATTGACAAACTCCTATCTAATGGGAAAGTACTTTAACCACAAGACCATCTATTTCAATGGCTCAGCTCGCTGCATGTGGTGCTGATGTTTACCCACTGATCCTTAAGCAGACACATTCAGAGCTCAGAAGTGAAAGTCAAGGGTAGCTGCCTAAAAGGAATACATAAACAGTCATCTGGTGACGGGGCATCACTTCCAAACTTCCAAAATAAAGACCTTTAGGGAAAGAAGAAAGACAATAGGCCTCTTCATGTTTACGGCATGTTTAAACGTGTACTAACTTGCTCTTTTTGCAAAGCCTTATGGAAGATTACAAAAAAGGTTTTTTCCCCCTTAGTGTTAATGTATGAGTAGCTTAAAACAGATTTGTTCCAACTAATATTGAAATACCCTTATTTTGCCTTGCTTTTTCTTCCATTTATCTCTAGTTGTGCCCCCCACCCCCACCCCAAATGGACTGCATCTATTAAGCAGCATCCATAAATTGTCTGAAAGTGTTTAATTAGCAGCCAGGTTATAAAGGATACAACCCAGTGGCTGCAAGGCAGGAGTAGATCTTATGCTGTATCACACAATCAAAGACCAGCAAGCTGGTTGAGCGGCTGGAAGGTTATAAGCAGTATGTTCACCCTTTTGATTCATTTTAATTTAGCTTTATACAGCTGTGGCCTTTTCATGCACACACTATTTTGTCTGCATACTGCAAGAATATGGTTCATGAATAAAGCCTGACGTTGGATTCAGTCTATGGTCACCGTTGCATGACCACTTCTAAGTAAACCAGCTTTGTGGTGAAATGTCACTTCCATAAAGAGGGTCTCAAAGGAAATACTCTACATTCTATAAGCTTTCTGCCTGGGTGTGTTTTCTCTCAGTTATGACTGCAAAGCAACGGGAGCCTGGGACCGCCAAAGGAAGAAGCAGGAAGGATCAGGGATCAAGGAAAAACAACATTTGCCGGTGGCTTTAATGCCAGGGAAAAAAAGGCGGCGTGAAAAGCTATTCCCCAAGTGCTTAACCCATAAATGAAGCGGTCACCAGTGAATTTCAAATCCCCATCCAGTTTGGCATTGTGTTATTTACAAGACACAAGATGCAGCAGGTAAACCAGACTGAAATGGAAAAACGTTCTCTCAGGCTTTCTTCAAAGAGAAAAGAAAAGGAAGCAGCAACTCCAAGCATTGAAGAATGCAAGGACCATTATTTGGGAGAGAAGGTTTTAAGAAGAAAACAGCACTCATCACCCCAACAGATGATCAATTGCAAAAAAAAAAAAAAAAAAACCTCCTATGATTTGCTTTTTAAATATTTTGTTCCACTGTAACTACAAAGAATCAGGCTCTTATCTGCCAGGGCTGTGCGTCCTTCAAAAGTGATACGGTAGAAGGGCTCCAGATCTCACGCCAATACAGTGCGCCTCTCATTAAATGAGATTTTAAAGCAGCAGTATCTTTCCTCGGGCTCATGTCTAAAAAATGGGGGCTGCTTTAATGAGCAGCAGAGAGATGCAGTACTCATGCTAGGACCAGAGCACTTCTCCCCTATTGCTTTCACAGCATGCATTGCTTTGCTATCTGTATAGCTACAATAGCTATACATAACATCTCATACAATAGGGAGTTAGCTTCTTGATACCAAGTATTGAGGAAGATGAGCAGAAAAGTATTATTGCATGAAGGTCCTACTCGTGTTTCTTCCCCATAGGCTTCAATCTGACAAGAACATATGGAATCAACAAGACTCTGGTTTGACCTGTCAGTGGTCATCATCTGTTTTTAACGATCCAGTTTACTGCAACCTTAAGCTAAATAACTTAAACCAGTGTTGTCCAAACTTGGCCACTTTAAGAAGAGTGGACTTCAACTCCCAGAATTCCCCAGCCAGCATGGGGAATAGCATGGCTGGCCGGGGGATTCTGGGAGTTGAAGTCCACTCTTCTTAAAGTGGCCCAGGTTGGACAACCACGGTTTTAGTTATTTTGCTTTAGG